GCTCAGAGGCCCCTTCGGCAAAGGGGCGTGTCCCAAGCCCCCCTTCCTCCCCCTCCCCACCTTGGTGAGGTAGATTTCTGGGTCGAAGTGGGGCCCGTTGATGTCAATGGGGCCGCCGAGGTCGCCCCTGGCCGCGTCGGCTAAAGCCTCGCCCGCCGGGTCCGGCAGCCCGTAGTAGAGCTTCAGCATCCCGTGCGGACGCCGCTTCCCGCCCGGAGGCTCCGGGTCGCCTTCGGCCTGAGCCGCCGCCGCCGCCGCCGCCGCCGCCATGGGGAAAAATAAAAAACCCAAACCCTCTTCGGCTGGCTTGGCCACGCCCTCCGCCCGCGGAACACTTCCGTCGCGGCACGGGCGCAGTCCGGAAGTCCGCCTGCATCTCCATGGAGACGCGCCCGCGCCTTACACTTCCGGAAAGGTTTCCGCGCGATCGAGTTTGACAGCCGTGGCCTAGAGCAGGGGTCTCCAACCTGGGTAACTTTAAGCCTGGAGGACTTCAACTCCCAGGATTCCCCAGCCAGAAACTCCCCATGTGCCACTCTCCAGAATTCTGGGAGTTGAAGTCCTCCAGGCTTCAAGTTGCCAATGTTGGAGACCCCTGGCCTAGAGCGTTAAAAAGGGCTGCTCCGTCCGGGTTTCTCACTTGTCTCGAGCCCCTGGCCGACTTTAGAGCCGCGTGAAGCGAATAGCCTGTGAAGGGATTGTTGGTTGGTGGGGGGAGGGAGGAAGTGCCGGTAGCCATGGAAACCTTATCCTGCCTTCCAGTGCTTTGGATATTAAGTCAAACCCCTCTTCTCTGAGACACCCCCCCCCAGGTACTGGAAGACAGCTATCATGTCATCCCTAGTCCTTGTCTTTTGTTAGACCAGACATACCTCATTTTCTCCATTGTTCATTGTGTGTTTTAGCTTCATCTTTCTTGCTCTACTTTGCACTTTTTCTAAAGTCTGAACCTGGTTTTTGTATTGTGGCGACCAGAATTGCATGCACGTCTGGTGTCACTTTTTTGAAAGTTGCCTCTCTGTTGAAGGAGCTTGCCCTTCAATCCTTGCAGAAATAACACTTGGGCCATGATTTGTCAGTATTACTTATCCACAGTGCTTGGATGTCTACATCTGTACCTGCTGTCAGGGTTCCACCATAATAGATCCATAGCAAGCAAAACTCCAAGGCAGGTGGATTCCTCAAAAGAGTAGCTTTATTGGATAAATCATATTGGCACAGATCGGGTGAAAACAGACTCTGAAGCTTCCTGCTGTTTTCAGCCTAATTAAAAGTTTTGTCCCTTTCTCAAAACAATCAGTCACGCGATCCAATCACAGCGCTGTCTTGTTGCCGGGCGACATCACTCCGCCTTCCTCTGACCAGGTGTGAGAATGTTCTTGGTTCCCAAGAGAAAAGTATTTTGTTTTGGCCATAAAACCCCAGCTATCTCAAATCCACCACCACCACCACCATTCCTCATCCCTCATCCAGGGTGGCGACACGGAAGTGTCCAAGATGGCTCCGGCTTAGTTTATTTTATTGTCACTGCACCTCGTACAACGAAATTAAATGCCACCTTCAGTGCACATTATAACAACCAAAATAAAACACAAACACACATCCTTTGCATTCTATTCATTTGAATTGAAAACCCCTGATATTGCATTAATGTTGCACTAGACAGTGGAATTCAATAGTTATTGCCCTGGGACAGAAGCTGTTTTTCAGCCTATTTGTCCTTGTTTTTATTATCCTGTACCGTCTGCCAGATGGTAATAGTTCAAACAAAGGTTGCCCAGGATGAGATGGATCTTTGAGAATCTTTTGAACTTTCTTAAGGTAGCAAGAGCTATAAAACTTTTCCAAAGAGGGGAGAGGGCAATCCATGATCTTCTGGGCTTCGGTCAGGTCAACTTCAGGGTTGACACCTGCTGTTGGGTGATGCCCGACACCCACCTGCTTTGGGGGGGGGGGGGGAAGGCTGCCAATCGTCCGGCTTCTAGAACTTCTGCATCCTTATGACTTCATCAGCCCAGGATCTCTTGTGAGACCCACCTCCTCCAGGAAGGGCCTCCTTATTCACAGCTCCCCTAGGACTAAGGAGAACCCAAGCTGCCCAAGATGCCGCAGATGGGCTCATGGAAAGACCCTTTCCTAACTGTTACCTTCCCCAGCAAGGTCATCTTCATCATTGCCTCGTGGGTGCTGTTTGTCATCAACACTGGAGTGATCATTGGGGATCTCTACCACTTCCTGGTGTCTCAAAGGGGAGATCTCATGAGCTTCCGGTTCACAGTGTCGCTGCTGGTAAAAGGACCTTCCTTGGCCTCTTCTGCAATTCAGTCATCCTACCGTGGGGCGGGGCAGGGGGAATAGATGACCTCTAGCTGTGGTGCCAGAAAAAAAAAACAGGTCAGGGCAAATAGAACCACTGCAGCCTTTACAGATTAGCAAAGGTCGCAAGGTGTTAACTTTCAGCGTAAAGGCTGAGGTGGGATTTTTCAGAGCATGTGGTGGGCACTTTCACAAAATGGCTAGCGTTTCCCCAGAAGGCCAACTCCTCTCCCACGATGCTCTCTGCCGCTCCTGAAGGTCCTTGTGGCGGTATGTGTGTGTGTGTGTGTGTGTGTAACACAAGCCATTCCTGTAAATCAGGGGTCTCCAACCGTGGCCATTTTAAGACAAGTTGAAGTTGAAGTCCACAAGTCTTAAAATGGCCATGGTTGGAGACCCCCCGCTGTGAAGCAATAAGATATGAGAGGCTACCACTTCTGAGGGGAGCATGTCATCTTCCTATTTTCTTTCTTTTTCTTTCTTTTTTTAAATGAAAATTGTATTTTTTAACACATTGGAGAAGGGAGCTCTGCTCTTTGCAACGGGAAGCCATTCATTTTTTTCTCCGCTCTTCTTTGGGTTTCTCACAGTTCTCCCACGTGACCAGTTTTTATTTGTCCCTCCTGGCCAGCATCTACACCTTGCAGGCAGATGATGGCTTCTTGACGTGCTTGGCCCTGACCTCCTTTGGTAAGATAGCAATAGCACTTAAGACTTATATCCCGCTTCACAGTGCTTTCCAGCCCTCTCAAAGCGATTTAGAGTCAGCCTCTTGCCCCCAACAATCTGGGTCCTCATTTTACCCACCTCGGAAGGACGGAAGCCTGAGTCGCCCTTGAGCCTGGTGAGATTCGAACTGCCAAATTGCAGTAGGAGTAGCTTGCAGTACTGCACTCTAACCACTGCGCCACCAAGGCTTCATAAGAGGAGGGGGGAGGAGGGGGAGGAAAAGGAACAGTGAGTTTCCTAGGGTAACAAGCCAGCGTCTTTTAGCTATTGTTTAGTTTCCAATCCTTCCACCATCTAGGCCAGTATTCCCTAATCTTGGCAAATTTGGAAGTCTAACCATCAACTCCCGGAATTCCCCAGCCGGCTTGATTTACGATGAGTGGACTTCAACTCCCCAAATCCCCCAGCCAGCCTGCTTTAAATGTTGTGGTCTTCAACTCCCAAAATTCTCCAGCCAGCTCTACTGGTTGTGGAATTCTGGGAATTAAAGTCTGAGGTTGCAAGACGCTGATCTAGGCCCTACATTAATTTTTTCCCCTGCCACAACCAATTTTCCAAATTCCAAATTCAGACAGTTGAAGTCCACATCGTAAACAGACCTGGTCTAGTGATTAAGACACCAGGATAGGAAGGAGGAGATGGTGAGTTTTAGTCCCGCCTGAGGCACAAAAGCCGCTTAGTGACTTTGGTCCAATCACCAGGAGATGGTGAGCTCTAATCCCGTCTTAGGCGTGAAACCTGGGTGGCTGATTGGACTGATCACCAGGAGACGGGGAGTTCTTGCTCTGTCTTAGGCAGGAAAGCCAGCTGGTTTGAGTTTGGGCCAGTCCCTCCGTTTCAGCCCAATCCACCACACAGGATTATCGTGGGGAATCACCAGGCAACTGAGAGTTCTAGTTCTGCCTTAGGCATGAAAGCCAGCTGACCGACCTTGGATCAATCATCAGGATACAGTGAGTTCAAATCCCGCTTTAGCCATCAAATCACTGTCTGGGCGATTTTGGGGCCAATCGCTAGGCGACGGTGACTTCTAGTCCTGTCTTAGGCACAAAAGCCAGCTGGGCGACTTTGGGCCAGGCCGTCTTTCAGCTCAGCCCACCTCAACAGGGTAGGAGACGGAAAAGTACATTTGGCTACGTTCACCGCCTTGAGTTATTTGTCAAAATAATAAAAGTGGGATATAAATGAATGAATGAATGAAAAAAAATCCTTTCCTTTCCATCCAGTCGCCAATCTTACTTTGTACATCTGCCGATTCTGGATGGACTATCTCACCATCGAATACAGGGAAGAAAAATACGAATGATCAGAAGAAACCAGGGACGACACGAGCAAGGCCAAGAGTGAGAGGTTGTTTCCCTCCCCCCACAAGCTTGTTCATATTATCCCAGCCAGTAACCTCTGAAGGAGCAACAAAGGAGTAGCCACTACCCTTTTAGGATTAGCCAAGAGAGTTTAATAGAATATTAACAAATGTCTCTATTGCTTCAATGTGCTAGAGCTTTGCACTCTCACCGTCCTACGTCCGAAGTACACGGAGGCAAGAAATAAAACCTTGGCGGGCCATTTCCCATCGTTCCACCAGCCCCAAACCTTCCCAAGCCTGCAGGGGATGATGGGCCTCACCCTTCTTGATCAGACATCAGGGGCGAGAGAGAAGCCTTTCCTCCACCAGGTGTCTCCCCCCCCACCACCCAAAAAACTCAAAATGGATGGGGACCATCGCTTTCAGTCAAGCGGCCGGGCCCACCAAATCTGCCAACACCAGAGAAGGGAGGGGAAAGTGATTCAGGAGAAGACAAGGTGGCTGCCACCCTTCTGGAGAAACTTAACGTCCGAACGGAGTGGAGATGTTTTTCAGAGGTGAACCTGGGAAGGCAGACGGTTGTCTGGAACGGAGAGGACAAGAAAGAGCTGGGGCATAAGAGGATAATGGCCTTCTTTTTTTTTGGGGGGGGGGGGGGGATGTGTAGTGCCTATTAAGGGAAGCCATTCGTAAGCACTGAGCTGTCCCCCCTCTTCTCATCTCCACAGCACTTCAAGCATCTGCCAATCAAACCCTGGACTTTTCCCAACCACTGGGTTGCAGAGAAAGGCTGCGGGGGCAGCCTTTGGTCCTACAGGATGGCCCCCTGAGCCCGAGGGGGGCGAAGACACACTTGGTGGGGCTCCCCAAGGCAGCCAGCGTCCCGTATCTAGCAGGCCATTTAGAAGGAAAGCGGCGGAGAGAGGCTGGAAACCAGCCGTGTTAAGGGAAAGGGTTGAGGTGGGGTTACTTCAACCTTAGACAGAGCTCCCTTTTTCGGGGGGGGGGGGGGGGGGGAGCTGTGGTGTTCCTACCACTAAGGGCAGCTCTGTGCAGAAGCATCAAAACGGATTTAGGATAAGAGATCCTGTTAGTTGACGTAGAAATCCCCAAACCTGGCCATGCTCTTTTATAAAAATGGCTACGGGCTGGGTGGCAACAGAGCAAAACAGACAGACACACACACACACACGATTCCCAGTCGATCGCTCCCGTCTCAAACAACCACCGAAGAAGGAAAAACAAAGCAAATGGGGAAATCACTGGACCTCAAGGTAAGCCCCTCTTGCCGGGTCGTGAGAAAAGAGAGACAGGGAATTATTTTGCCCACCCACCTACCGAGCAGCACTGAGAGAAGAAAAATGGAAGGGGGGGGGGCGTTGTCATCTTTAAAATTGCTAGTTCAATCCTGTCCCTAAACTGCCCACCTGCATAATTGGGACAACAAAATTTTGCCGTTGGCAAGTCCATCAGACTGTGGAGAGGAGGAGGAGGAGGAGGAGGAGGAGGAGGAGGAGGAAGAGATGGACCGTCTTTTAACTGGCATACCTTCATCCAAGCTTCAAAGGTGTCCCAACCAACCTTGTCTGTCCAGGCTGGGAAGCTCACAGAGACACATCCAGCAGCTGCAACCCCGGGCCTCCCTCCGGGGTGCAATTCTGCCGCCAAGAGGAAGAGCCCAAGAGTTGGGGTTACGGGGCCACGCGGCGACGGAGAGGCTGGCCCTACTCACTACTGTCCCACTCGGATGTGAGGGTTGAACTTGGGGTCCAGGCTGGGGTCGTTGTCAGCTGAAGCCCGGCCGAGCTTCATCATGACAACGACGAGCGTCAGGAAACCAATCCCGCCGATCAGAAGGAAGATGACAAACCTCTGCATTAACGATCGTGGCTGCTTCCGGGTACCGAAGCGGTTCCTGCCGGCAGAAGGAAAGAGAAGATTGAGCTCTGTCCCCCCTCCTCCTCTGGGGTTCTGATCTGGATTTTGCCTATTGGGAATGCTTTTAAAACTGTTGGCTGGCTTGCCGTGAGATCCCGTCCTGCACCAGGGGAAAAGGAATGAGGAAGCTGCCAGGAGAGAATCCAAAATAATCAAGAGAGCAGAACCAAAAAAACTATTCCAAAGTCCACTGGATCTGAACCGTAATTACAACCTGCTTTGGAATCCCACCACTGCTTTTCCAAAAGGCAACTGGATTTTTTCTCTCACCACCCCTTGAAAACGTTTCGCTTCTCATCCAAGAAGCGGCTTCAGTTCTGGATGAGAAGCAAAATGTTTCTTCAAGGAAACAAACCAAGGAGAAAGAAATCCAGTTACCTTTTGGAAAAGGTAGCAACCGTGAGCTGGAGGACTGAGCCTTCTCCACAGACATGCAACCGCGCGACGTCAGCTTGTTTCCAAGTTGCCAACCTGCTTGGAAGCCAAGGCAGAATTTGGCACCCGCACTCAGAAGAGGCTCATGAACAGCTTCATGCAAACCAAGAGGACGTCGCAAGGAAAATGGAGCCCTCTCGCTTCGTTTTTGTGACTTTCCTTCCCGTCGCTCTTGGCTCTCCTCAGCGGCTCTCGGTACCACTAGCATCTCTTGTTGGGAGAGCCAGCTCCCACACCAACGAGCCGGGAAGTGGGTTTTTTTGGGGTGGGTGGGGGGTGGGTGGGACTCACTTGAGCAGCTGGGCGAGCCAACTGAGTGTCGGTCTCCGCCGGTATTTGTCCTCGTCGAAGTCGATGGTGGTGCTCGAATCCTGGCCCACGCCTGCTTCCCGGGTGTCATAAATTTTCCGTGACGAGGAGGCTGCGGGCAAAGGGAGAAGGGAAGGGAAGAAATAGCAACCCTTTCTTTTGCTCTCCCCGCTTCCTCCCGGAAACTCATGAGTTTGGCCAGAGAAATTCTGCATAATTGACGACGCGAAACCAAGCGGGAACAGTTACAGCGATATCATGTAAACGCGACATTATGAATCATGACGGCTTAAGGGGAAAAAGCAAAAAAAATATACAAGTCTGGGAAAGGAAACTGCGTACTGGACAATCCTCCCCATTATGCAATCTGGCCATCTAATGCTTGAAATTCTTCTTCCTTGTCCTTCTGTAGGATATTGACGAGACAGCAAAAGCACAGAGATATTTTATGCTTTGTTCTCCTTCCTCTTTATTTTAGGAACATTACCCCCCTGTATTCCCAAAGAAATTAAAAGTAGAAGTGGGGGACCTCCCAAAGTACTTATGATTTTGCATTAAGATTTTTTTCCACTTGAATCGAAAAGGCATTCTGGGTGATATTAATGGAGGATTTATCCAATACTTCCAATAAAGCAGAACTCTCAAAACTTGGCAACTTTAAGACTTGTGGACTTCAACTCCCAGAATTCCCCAGCCAGCTGGAGAGTTGGGAGTTGAAGTCCACAAGTCTTAAAGTTGACAAGTTTGGGGACCCCCTGAAATAAGATTCTATGCAAGGATAATCCAATGATCAAAGGTTGGCAGCAAACGCCGACCTTCATTGGGAGCTCTGAAGGGGATACGGCTACAAGCAAGATGACACCACCTCACCCTGCCCCCAATGGATTTATCTCCCTCCGTCACCCACCCCCAAATGCAGCTGCCTCCCTGCCTTGATGCTGAGAACGCCTCTACCTCCATCACTCATGCTGACAATCGTGTGTTGGTCCGCCACACCGTTCTTCAGGTTCTGCTGCTGTTGCTGCTGTGGGGACTCGAAGTTGCAGCTGGCACTATAGGCAAAGGCCGAACTCTGTGGGGCAGCTTCTTCTGAATTTAGGGCTGCGGAGGGAGAAGAAGAACAGCTTGAGCTCCATTAAGAAAGTGTTTTTTTTTTCTTATTTTGAGATGTTTTAGCATTTAGCTCTGCTGTTAGGCGTTAAAAAAGAGTTTCCTGGGAATTATAGAACCGTCTGCGTTTTTTGCAGGCTGCTCAACCACTGAGGAGGCAGCCCATAAATCAGTGTATGAATCAATAAAGTGAGCCTGATGGTGGCTGAATGTAGATACTGGGGTGGTGGTTCTTTTTTTCTTAATTTAAATGTATTGTTTTAGTGTAGAGAATAAAATGCAGAACAGTAAAGCAAACAAACAAAAGGAAACAAAGCAAAAACATGCATCCAGCTCTAACAACAACAACATCAACAACAAATATAGTGTACAAAAAAGAGAGGAAAAAGTGATTAATTAGATTTAACATGTAGGATGTACCCTGGCTAAGTGCTGAAAGAAAAGATTATTTAGGTAGGTAGGTATATGGATGGATGACAGATAGACAGACAGATGATGGATAGATGATAGGTAGGTAGATGAGAGAAAGAGACAGGTAGATAGATGGTAGACGCGTAAATGAGATAGATAGATAGATATGGATGGATAGATGATAGATAGCTGCACAGGTGATATTCAGCCGGTTCTGACCAGTTCTGGAGAACCAGTAGCGGGAATTTTGAGTAATTTTGAGTAACGGATGTGTTGAGTGCCTGCCACTCGCTTAAATAGAGCTGCATGTGTCTGCCACTTGCCCGGACCGGGCCCAGACGAGCCACAGCCCAGGACCGGGCCAGAGCCAGGGGGTTGGGGACCCCTGTTCTTGAGGGACTGTTTCCACAACATGTTAAGCAGGATTAGTTGTAATCATACAGACTTGGATGGGGGAAGGGAGGATTTAACAGGCAAGCCTTCGATTCATTTGGACTACAAGACCTCCAAGATCCCTTCCAACTCTATTCTCATTGGTTTATGTATGATTCAATGCGAAGCATTTGGGGAATAATTCATTGACCAATTTAAAGGTAAAGGTTCCCCTCGCACATCCATGCTAGTCGTTTCTGGCTCTAGGGGGCACTGCTCATCTCAGTGACAAAGCCGAAGAGCCTCAGTGCTGTCCGAAGACGTCTCTGTGGTCATGTGGCTGGCAGGACTAAACGCCGAAGGCACATGGAACACTGTTCCCTTCCCACCAAAATGGTCTCCATTTTCCTACTTGCATTTTTACAGGCTTTCGAACTGCTAGGTTGGCAGAAGCTGGGACAAGTAACGGGAGTTCACTCCGTTCTGCAGCGCTAGGGATTCGAACCGCCGAAAAGCGAACCTTTCCGATCGACAAGCTCAGCGTCTTAGCCCCTGAGCCACTGCGTCCCTCAATTGACCAATTGTTTAAAAAAAAAGGGAGGGGTGGCTTTGGAGGCATTTCAAGTACAAAGATTTTTGCTTTTCCCTCCCAAATACTGTAAGAAGGGACAAAAATTTGAAAGGGGATTTTTTAAATAAGAAAGATGGGCGAGAAACTCACCCCAACGAGTGGAATAATCTTCTCTCCTGTATTTTGAAATACAGATGCTTCTAAGGCACAAAATACGGATGGCCCATCTGCGCTCAAATGAGATTGGAGGCTTGCACTCTTGAGGGAATCACACCAGGCGTAAGTGGTAGGTTCTACCAGAAAACTCCAAAGAGGTCTCCATTGCCAAGGACATGATGCCATCGCCCCTATCTAGCTCTTCACACTGTTTTCTCCGCCTTAGCAGTTCTTAAGATGAGTGGACCTCCACTCCCAGAATCCCCCAGCCAACTGGCTGGGGGATTCTGGGAGTGGAAGTCCTCTCATCTTGAAAATTGTTAAGATGGAGAAAGGCTCCCCTGAGCCCATATACTCACCTGTGAAACTGGACCAGTCGCTGCACTCTGAGGCATTGTGGGTATCCATCTCTTGTGTCACTTCCGTTTCATCAATCTGAGCATAAAAAACACAAACAAATCCAGGTTAATCTGGTGGGATCTGGAAAGAAAGGCAAGATGACAGGTGCTTTGATTTGACTCTTAGAGACATCCTGGACAAGTTTGTTTGCTTGTTTATAAAATGTATTGCCTGCCGATCTTACGATAAGGTAATTCTAGGTGGCTTACAGAATTAAAAAATACATCTACATTAAAATAAGAGAAATTAAAACCAGGATTTAAAGTCCTAAAGATTTATGTTGTTTTCAAGGCAGAAATCCAGATATTCACAGCTGCTTCCTTCGATTTATTTTATAGTTTTTAACTTCCTAGTCTAGTTTATAGTCCTGGGATTTTCTCCATGGGAAGTATTATTAATCAGGTCTGAGCCTGCTGTCCAGAGTCAGCTGGGTTTGGTTTTTGGGGACCAAGCAAGGCCCAAATAAAGGGAAAAATCTTAACAGTTGAAAAACTGGCTTTCTCCTCCTCGCTCCCAAAGCTGGTACAGATGATCCTTGACTTACAATCAAAGTTGAGCCCCAAATTTTTATCACTAAGCAAGGCAGGTTGTCAATCTTTTTAGCCAGAGTTTTTAAGCAAATCACCATAGTTTATTAATTGAATCAAATGGTTGTTACGCAAATCTGGCTTCCCTCATTGACTTTGTTTTTATGGCGACCGTCATAAAAACGAGTCAGTTGCCAGGTGCCTGAATTCTGTGGGGATGTTGCAATGGTCGTAAGTGTGAAAAACGGTCATGTCACTTTTTTCCAGTGCTGTCGTAACTTCGAACAGCCACTAAATGAATGGTTGTAAGTCGAGGATTACTTGTACTGCTGTCAGGTGTTAATTTTTTATAGATGTTATTATAATTTTTTTCTGATGTAAGCAGCTGAGCATCATAACAATTTAAAAAGAAAAGAACAAAGTCCCATCTTTCAAGACAATTTCTTTTATTTAGGAAATAGCAATAGCAATAGCATTTATACTTATATACCGCTTTATAGTGCTTTCCAACCCTCTCTAAGCAGTTTTACAGAGTCAGCCTCTTGCCCCCAACAATTTGGGTCCTCATTTTACCCAACTCGGAAGGATGGAAAGCTGAGTCAACCTTGAGCCTGGTGGGATTTGAACTGCCAAATTGTAGGCAGCTGGCTGCAGAAGTAGCTTGCAATACTGCACTCTAACCGCTGTGCCACTGAGCTTTCAGAAAGCATCAAATTGGCAAAGTCCATGGTAATTCCCAATCTGACACAACCCGGAATTACCCCACAATACTTTAGAAGTTAGAAACAACCCCCAAAAGTCACATTCTCCAACAGAAGTAATTCAATGTTGCTTGATGTCATAAATCTCCACCTCAAGGGGCCCAAGCATGGACAGCTCATTTCCCACGGGAAGAAGAATCACCTATCCAAAACAACTGTCTCTATCTCCACTCCTCCCCACTTCTTCCCCCCATGACTGTCACAGAGAAAGTAAGAAAAATAATATATACTAAGCCTAACTAAAATGTCTACACATATGTCAAATTTGGGCTTGACAATCGCATCACATGCCCCAATCACCATCCGTCCCAACTTAAGACGTCCTCTCATCCAGGTGCAGAAATGACATGACCTTGACTTAGAAGAAGAATGCTATTATGTCTAACCACATACACTCCAAGAAATTCCCCCCTTCCATTTTCCCAGGCTCAAGAATGTGGCAGCGTGGAACCATCTGACTTCCAAAGCTGACACTGGGTCCTCATTGTACCTACCTCGGAAGGACGGAAGGCTGAGTCAACCTTGAGCCGGTTAGGATTGAACTGCTGGCAGCTGGCAGAATTAACCTGCAATATTGCACTGCGCCACCATGGCTCATAACAGGGGCAGACTCTGCCTTGCAGGAGGTTTCCAAACCAAGGCTGGATAGACAATACCCAAGGTGATTTAGTGCATGTCTGAACTGAAGAGGGCTGGCCTATATGACCTCTAAGGTCCCTATGAACAATTGTATTGTCTGTGAAAGGTCCCACAAGGTCTTTTAAAGTAGCTTGCTCCCTGACCAGGACTGAAGCTGCCAAATAATTATAGAGAGGTTGTCTGCAGGGATTATTTTTTTGAACAAAAACAGCTATTTCTTTCTTTCTTTTTAAATATGGACAAAATCAAAGGCTGGAAACCTTGGTCTCAAATCCAAATCTCTGCCTTCAACAGAGATCAGTCCATCAGCCTTCCTGAGGCTCTCAACCGCTGGAAACAAACACAACAATCTGGATTCATTTCAAAGCAGATTAAAGGTTTAACTCGACCTGGTGCTGTGAAAAATGGCTCAGGGAGCAGCTCAACGATGGCAGGATTTAATTTCTTACCAGGGGAAGCCGGAGTCCAGCCCGAGCCCAGTTGACGGTGGAGAGCTTGTCTCGGAGGGCAGACGCGACCGGACTGACCAAGTTGGTGGGAGGGAAGACGGGGCCCTGGCAACAGGGACACTGGTAGCCAGCGGGGGCCGTGTTCTGTGGAAGCTGGTTGGCCATCTCATTGAGGCAGGACCAGTGGAAGAGATCTGGAGGGAAGAGAAGCCATTAAAGCCAAGTCTTGTCTTGGAGGTGCTATGCCAAGAGGCCACATGTCTATGGAGATGGTTGATCATTCAGTTTTTCCAAAACAGTGGTCACCAATTGGTGGTCCGTGAGAAAATTTTGGTGAACAGCATATAAAGAAAATCTGCATAAGATGTTTTATAGATGGCATTTTGCACCGGCAAGGCTGGCAAAGATGTTTAAAGACAAATCAGCTAAATGCTGGAACCAGACACCTGGAACATATTACCATATGTGGTGGACATGTACAGAAGCTAAAAGATATTGGACAAAAATACACACATGGTTTGAAAAGATGATAAAACAACACATAGACTTAAAACCTGAGATATTTTTATTGGGGATTTTACCTGAAAATTATAGTAAAGAAAAAACATTTAATCATACACATATTAACAGCATCTAGAATTGTATTTGCTCAAAATTGGAAAAATGAAGAGGAAGAGATGATTATGAAAATATTGGAATATGTGCAGAAATGAATAGAATAACATTGGCAATCAAAGAAGAAGTGGAATATTATATGATATGGGATCTATTTTATAAATGGTTGGAAAATAAAGAAGTTAAATGAACATCATTATAATAACAAGATATATAAGTTTGAGTATTTTTAATATGAATGTAATCCTAGTAAGAAATGTATACAAAATATAAATATTTGCACAAGATATATGTACCCAGTTGAGCCACTGTATAACTGAAAGATGGATTTGTTGTAAAATAAAATAAAAAATATTTTGGAAAGAAAAAAAAAGAAAATTTTGGTGGTCCACAGAAAAATTATTTGCATTTTTTAAATATTGCAATAAATACTATTTATCTTTTTTTAAAATTCATATTAGTGGTCCACTGGATTTAAAATTATTTAGGGGTCCCTGAGATCCAAAAGATTGGCGCCCCCTGTTCCAAAGGGCAACTGGACTACCTTGTTTTTTTCCCCTTTCTTTTTTAAAAATGTATTTATATATTTTCTTTTTACATACAATGTGCTTAGTGAACAGTGTGCTGTCTGGGTCCGTTTGTTTACATAACAATATTAAATTCCTAGTTTCCACCTCTGTTATCCAATCATTGGTAAAACAAGTCCCAAGTTCGAAAATATCCTGTGTCTTCCTTTTATCTTCAGTGTTAATCTATCCATTTCTGCACAGTCTAATATTTTTTAAATTATATTTCCTGTAAGTGTTTTTTCCAGTATTGTGCAAATACAATTCTTGCTGCTGCCAAAACATGTAATATTACATAGACATTCCCTTTATCGTGTTTTTCTGTATTATGCCTAACAAAAATAGTTCTGGCTTATAGTCTACATCAGTGGTGGCTAACCTTTTTCGGCTCCTGTGCTGATAATTGCGTGCGCGCTCACGTGCCAGCACCCAGAAGCCAAGGCATGCTGGGACACCCCCCCCATGCCCCCTGTGCGTGCGATCCTCATGCGACATGCGTCTGCGGGAGAGATTTCCCCCGCACGCCATGCATCTGCGCATGCACACACGATCCCCCTGTAAGTGCTGCGCGTCTCCCACCTCCCCGCGCATACGTGCCAGGTACCCGACAATCAACTGTTGGGCGCCGGCGGCGCACGCACAGTGGGGCTCTTCCGGGTGAGCTCTCACGTGCAGGCAGAAGTGGCTCTGTAGGTTTCCTTAACATTGTTTCTAACCACATGTGCACTTTTGTCCAATCTTTATTTATTTTTTTGCTTTTGGGCATGTCGACCACATGTGATAATATGTGCCCCGTTTTCTTGGTTTTTTTTTCCCCAATGATCAACTCTCAAAATGACCAGATGACTCCAAGGAATGTAAATCCTTCTATTCCCCACCATTCAGTCACAACTGAAGAAGCTTCTTGGATGAGAAGGGAAAATGTCTAGCGAAAAACTAAGAAAGTCCAGTTGCCTTTTGAAAAAGCACCTTTGAGACAACCAGGACCTGGATGACTTCAGAATCTCCACTGACACTCAACTTCTCTGCTTAATAGCTGTCAATGGAGATGTTCAATCATCCAGGTCATGGTTGTCCCAAACAGACTTCTTTTACTAAAGAAACCTAGATTTTCTTGGTTTTTTTTCCTCCTTGAAAATGTTTCGCTTCTCATCCAAGAAGTTTCTTCAACTCTGACTGGAGGGGAATGGAAGGATTTATATTCCTTGCAGACAGCTGGTCATTTGCATCCTTTTTTAGAGAGTCATTGAGGCCACTTGGGAGGTTTGTGTCCTCAGGGTCATCTGAGTGGTGCACATGGGTGTGGAGCCTTTTTGGAACTGCTAAAACGACTGTGTTGTAGACTGGAGGTGGATGATTTTGTATCTCACTTCCCCCCCTCCCCTCTGTTGAGGGAGGGCTGTTCAATTTTGACATAGATTTTTGATCCCTCTTTCAAACCAGCATTCCTCTCTGTCCACAATATGGACTTTGTTGCAAAAGAATTAAAATGACCAGATATATAAATCCTTCCATTCCCCACCATCCAAGCTCTAAACTGAAGAAGCTTCTTGTCTTCAAAGAAAAACCTGAAGGTCCAGTTGCCTCTTGAAAAAAAAAAGCACCTTTGGGATGTACTTAAGTCAATGTCTCTCCTGTCCCAGAGAGAGTTTTGGGGAGCCACAGAAGAGAGAATGCCCAGAGATTTTCTACTGACCATAACACACAAGCCGAACCGTCTCTTTATTGGAAAGAAGCGCGTTACACAACCGGCAGTTGGGATTGTAATCGCTGTCTTGAAGCCACTGCAGGTATGATTGGACGATGCACTGAAAAAAAAAGAAACAGAAAAAAATAATAATAGTAAGACAATTGGTGCCAAAGGTAGCAGGTGGAAATTGGTAGGGGAGGAGGAGCCTGCTTATGTCATTGAATGGAAAGTATTTCAGTTTTTAAGGTGATTTGTAGCAATCAGGAGCTAACACAGAGGAAAAAAAACAGTATGCATCTGGTTTTTGACAATTGAGGCCATAAATCAGATTCTAGTTGAGTCAGCTGTAACTTTAATATCCAGATCGCTCGAACCGGTCCAAACCGGTAGAATCCCACCCCTGCCTCTGAGGTTCTTTCCTATTTGTTAACCGCGTGGTTTCATGCCCTGTTCGTACCAGACCCTTCTGATTTCTCCGGACTCTCGTTTCAATGCATTTGACTTCTCTGGGCTGTTTCCATTTACCTTGGCATGGTTAGCGACAATGCAGTACTCGCAAACGTTCACTCGATGCTCAAAACAGAACAGGTTGGTGACCTTCCTCTTGGGACACTTGCAGAGCCCCATCGTAGTCGGCGCAAGGGTGGCTTAGGGTGGCGAGAAGAGCTGGAGAAAGGGCACATGGACAGAGGGATTACCTACACGAGGGCTTTTCAAACCACGGCTTAGCCATGGCTCACCTGTGCTTCCTTCCCCAATCACATTCGCAGTTCCAAGACGTCCCCTCGGAAAATCACAACAAACTGGACAATATTGAGAGCGCAACGTTTTTGCACCTCTGCCAAGATGCAAATTAGGTATGCTAAGGTTACACACCTTACCAAACATCCTGCTTTTGTGCTTTCATAGCTGCATACATAAAAGGAAAAAGAGGAGGTGTCAGGCTTGTCACAGCTTGGGCACTTAGGAAAGAAAGACCCTCGACTCCATTTGTAACGAAAGGTAGACTTTTACTAAAGCCAAGTGCTTGTTACAGTCTAAGCAAAGCCGGATCTGAATATCCCAATCAAAACCTGCCTTTCCCTCATTTTGGGGGCCCTCCGCCCCACTTGACCCGTTCATGAGTTTCCAAATGATATTCAAAGTTGGTGTTTCGGTAACCGCTTTGAGGTTTGGCACCTCTTTGGTATATAGCTTTGCATTCTGGTCTCCTGCTTGAGTCCTTAGATGTAGTGATCTGTTCCGGATTGGCACCTGTGGTACCTGTCATCCCTCCCCCTTCTGCATTTTATAGCAGGATGCCAGCGAAGCAAAACAGGCTGAAGCACTTCCTATGGCAGACTTGACAACAGGTGACACTTAGGAACACAGAGAAACCTGTTCTTGTTGAATGCCTATCTTATGAGCAGGAATGAGAGTGCCTACCTTACAGGTTATAAAGAACAATCACTTCCAGAAGTATATTATATCCATATATAATCATATATAGAATTACTACCAAGTAAATCTTCACAGAACAAAAGTTTATCTCAGGGTTTCTCAATCTTGGGCATTTGAAGATATGTGAACATGCAAACTGACTGGGGGATTCTGGGAGTTGAAGTCCATATCAAGGAAGAAAAAGCCCATCCTCACCAAGCATGTGAATCTATCAATTACTTGTTACTTGCATTGTTTATGCATTTTACAGCACTTGTCAGGCCCCTAAAAGATACCAGTTGTGGTGTTCATTTATTTATTGAGGAACAATATATGGCTGCCCAATTCAAGCAGTGAGATTCTGGGTAGATTGCAATAATAAAGCAAAAGCAATTTAGCCTCACCAGGGAAAGAACAGGACAGTTAAGACAAAGAGAAAGGGGAGAAAAAGAACAAGCTCAACCATCAATTCTTAAAATCATCTCCTTTTAATGACCCCAGAATCCCTTGCGGTATGAGTCTGGGCAACTGAATGGAGCTGAGTGTTTACTGGCCGGATGCCCTTCCTATCGCCAATGTGGAGTTATATTCATCAGATATATTCTCATTGAGTTCAGAGAGAGAAATACCTGTCTCTACCTAGGATGACAGAAGCCCTGATCAATAGAAGAGAATATCTGCAGCTCAGGCTTGAACTGTGGGGTCTTTGTTATTCTCTGAGCTTCGTGGTTTCCTTGCAGATGTTTCATGACCCAGCTAGGGAAGACCATCAGTGCTAGAAGGGAATGGGATTTGCTTTCTATTTATGTGCAAGTGTTGCTGGGAATGTTCTTGGTGATTCCTAGACTAGACTGTTGTTTATTATTTGTTTGCCTGAACTGGTAGTCCCTTAATTGAAGCTTTGTTTACTGCTTCACTCCTTTTTAGCATTGATGATGTTCCCTACTTGGGTTATGAAACATCTGCAAACCCACTCACCCCCCAAAAAACACCCACCAGAAAGCACTAAGGATCCCACAGTGCTTTTCCTCCTCCTTTCTCCTCCTCCACAAACCCCACTCCCTTCTAGCACTGATGTTACTTAGTTCGGTAATGAAACATCTGCAAGAAAACTTGGAAAGTGCCAAGGACCCCACAGTCTTCATCCTCCCCCTCCTCTCCCCAGACCCCACTTCCTTCTAGCACTATAAGATGCAACCTAGTTGGATCATGAAACATTTGCAAGCAAAGAACCAAGTTCAGAGAGCACCAAGTATCCCACAGTCCTCCTCTCTGCAAACTCATCTCTCTTCTAGCTCTGATGATGTTACCTAGATGGGTCACAAAACGTCTGCAAGAAAACCACCAAGCTGAAAGAACACCAAAGATCCCACAGTTGCCTCCCCCCTCCTCGCAAACTCCACACCCTTCTAGCATTGATGTTGTTGCCTAGTCAGGTAATGAAATATCTTAGAATAGCTTTATTAGAATAGCACACTAATTGGCATACATTGAAATGAAATTTGGTTGCATTACAGCTCTTCAAAAGGCCTCCACCTCCAATATATACTACATAAACATGACAAAATAAATACAAAATTAAGCATCCACCCACATATATTATACGATGTGGAGAAACAACGCTCTAGTTTGGATGTATACATCTGCAAGAAAAGCACCAAGCCTGGAGAGCATCCAGGACCCCAGAGTCCTCCTCTCCCTCCTTCTCTCCATAACCCCCCCTTCCCTTCCCTTCTAACACTGATGATATTCCCTAGTTGGGTCATGAAACGTCTGCCAGAAAAACCACAAAAGCTCAGAGGGCACCAAGGACCCCCACTCCCTACCCACCCCCAGAAGCCCTCATCACCTGACAGGGCAGCTCCATAACTGACGGGCATCCAAACGCGCCCGCCCGCCGTAACTCCGAAGCAAGCTCGGTCTAATTGGGAGGGGCTGATTCTACCCCCTCCAACCGGCCATCAACAGATGACGGAGCCCAGCCCCATGATCCCCAGCCCTTCTGGCCATCGAAGCCTATCGCTCCCCGCCCCTTCAGGACGGGGGGGTGGGCACGCGATCATACTCCCGGCCCCGCAGCCATGGGGGGTATACTACACCTGCCTCCCTTGGCGAGGGAACCGTCCCGGGGCGGCCCAGGCAGCGGTAACGGAGCGTCCGAGCGTCGCCGGAGCAGCCCAACCGCCTCTGGCTCTCCCTGGTCCACGGGCGAGGGGCGAGGCCCACCTGTCTCCGCCGCCTCTCTCCAGCGCCCGCTGCCACGTCTCTTCCGGGAACGTCGCGCTTTGCTTGCGTCACGCCGGCCGCTCTCTCTCACACTCTCTTACTGATTCCCTTCCCGGCCCCGCCTTCTCTCCTAAAGATGGCGCCGGGCGTTCGTCGCTTGCGCTTTTCCGGCGGACGGCCCCCGACGTCACTTCCGGCGAGGCTCTGGCGGGCAATTTCAACGGCGCGGAGCAGCGATTGGAAGGAGGAGGCAGCGGCCGCCATGGCGGGAGGCCGCCCCGGGAGGCGGGCGCGCTCGGCCGGGGAGGCCCGGGAAGGTGAGGCCTGGGGGGCGCGGGGAGGGGGCTCCGCGGAGCAGGCCGTACAGGGGGAGGGGGCTTCCCTGCCTCGCCTCCAAAGCGCTGCTGGGTCGCCCCGCTTCGCCAGGCGGAGGAGGAAGAAGGGGGGGGGGGTTCCCCGCGGGGGTGGCTGCCGACCTAGACCGCTGGCTTCGTTTCTCATATCCCCCCTTTACTTCTTTACTGTTGTTATATCCTGCCTATATTGTTGTTATTGTTATTATTGTTATTGAATTTTTATTATATTCTGACTTTATTACATTCCACCTTTATTATTATATACAGCTATTATTAATATTGATATTGATATTATCATCATCAATACCATTAATATGCCTTTATTCATTATTATATTAATAGCATTCATTTTTTATTTTTATTATATCCTGCCTTTATTATTCCACCTTTATTATTTTATATGGCTATTGTTATTTATATTGATATTATTAATATCATTTGCTTTTTATTTTATCCTGTCTTTATTCATTATTTTCCACAATCATTATTAATATCATTATTTGCTTTTTATTTTTTTATATCCCGCCTTTATTATTATACTCCACCTTTATTATAATATGCCATTTTTATTATCTATCATGATCATTAAATTATCATCATTCGCTTTTTATTTTTATTACATCCTGCCTTTGTTGATTATATTCCACCTTTATTGTTATACTTTGCCATTATTATTATTACTACTACTACTATTATTTACCACTTTTATTTATTATTTCCCACCTTTATTCTTATACTCCACCTTTATTATTATGTGCTGCTTTTATTCATTTTTATTATATCGTACCATTCATTATTATTACATCCTGTCTTTTTCATCATATCCTGCCTTTATTTGTTATTACTATGGTTAGGCCACAGGGTGAGCCAGATGTTCAGACTGGATTTGACACTTTTATCCACCTGTCGCATCCTTTCCAAGGACTTGGATTGGCAGATGTGGATATTTTGATAGAATTGGTTATTTACAGGTAGTCCTGGAGTTACAAGAGTTTGTTTAGTGATTGTTCGAAGTTGCAACCGCTTTGAAAAAAGCCACTTATGACTACTTTCACACTTACAACCATTGCACCATCCCCACCACCACGTGATCAAAATGCAGACACTTAGCAACTGGCTCATATTTATGACGGTCATAGCGCCTGGAGGGGGTCACATGATTCCCTTTTGCGACATGAGCAGCAAAGTCAATGGGGAAGCCAGCTTCACTTAACAACCGTGTGACTAATTTAACAGCTGCAGTGATTCACTTAACAGGTGGCAAGACAAGTTGTAAAACGTCTTGCTTAGCAACAGAAATTGTGATTGTAAGTCGAGGACTACCTGTATGGGCCGCCCATCTTACCACAGGGTAACTCTGTGCAGCTTACAATCCTAAAAATAAAAATTGTATAAACTAAAAACATAAATAAATACAAATCCATCCCCTATGGTTCAATGAAAGATTGGGTGGGCGGGAGCAGAACTGGGCCATGCCCCAAGCCAATTGTCAGGGTCACGTCTTTAGGCTCTTATGGAACCTCAGGAAGGTTGGAGGAGGGGAGGTGTTCCAGAACGGGGGTCTCCAACCTTGAGAACTTTAAGACTTGTGGACTTCAACTCCCAGAGTTCCTCAGCCGGCAAAGAATCACTTGCATTTAATGTGCTGGCCTATATTGTTCCTTATTATTCATGTACTGTTTATTCTTTTTCTTCGTGCAGTATTTTCCTGCAAAAGTTGCACTTACCGTATATACTCGAGTATAAGTCGACCCGAATATAAGCCGAGGCACCTAATTTTACACAAAAAACTGGGAAAACTTATTGACTCGAGTATAAGCCGAGGGTGGGAAATGCAGCAGCTACTGGTAAATTTCAAAAATAAAAATAATTAATTTGGGAAACGATCTCACTATCATGAAAGGTTTAATTGATTCACTAACCCAAAAGAAGAAGATGATGATGACAGCGGGAGGCAGGAGTCACTCTCTTCCCCTCCCTCGGAGGCCCCCTGAGTCAGGAGTCACTACCGCCGGCGCGGCCCCAGTCCCGCCGCCTCGGGAAGGGAAAGGCAAAGCGCTTTTTGCCTTTCCCTTCCCGGCTGGGGCTGTTGGGAGTCGCTGCCGCCGGAGGCCGCGACTCCACACCATTTTTTTTTCAGAGGGGAATCTGACTCGAGTATAAGCCGAGGGGGATTTTTTCAGCACAAAAAATGGGCTGAAAAACTAGGCTTATACTCGAGTATATACAGTATTTTGTTTTTGTGTTAACTAAGTATGTTGATCTATTGGTTGCAACAGAAATTGACCAACCAGCTTGTCACCCAAGTCCAATGTCATAGGCTCAGAGTGAGTGACTGGCTCAAAGTCAGCCAGCCAGTGTTTCATGCTTAAGGTGCCACTAGAACTCACCATCTTCTGGTTTCTAGCCTGGTTCCTTAACCACTAAGCCAGACCATCCAGACCATTCACATACTGGATATAAGACACCTAAAAAGGATTTGCAGTTGTTTCCTTTTCCTTCCTTTTGTGGTGATCAGGATGCAGCATTATCTTTTGTCAAACCTGCCTCTTCTTCCTCAAGAGAGCCAAGAGTTTCCCATCATCTCCAGTCCAGAACCTCAAGACCTGCCCAGGTGCCACCTCTCACAACTTTCATCCCTTCTGAGAGGGTAGAAGTCCACAAGTCTTAAAGTTGCCAAGATTGGCAGCCCCCTGTTTCAGAAGGACTTTATCTCATCTTTGCTGTTATTATACAGTCAGATTGTCTGGGAATCCAGCCAAGTGAGATTTGGTAGGTTTAGCGGGTGTGGTCATGGTTTATGGTGGCTTAATGTTTTGTCCAGGGTTGACAGCTCAGCCCTTTGAAATATGATACACACATAAATACATTTTGGGAATGCAGAAAGAAAAGGACCCTTCTAAATTAGAGGTTCTCCCCCCCCCTCCATCCCCGGGTCTGAGGACCAGGACTGGTCCACGGAAACAAAGCCACATCTGTGGGGTGCAGGCGGCACATGAAACCATGTCCCCCTCCGGCCCACAGAAAAACCTCTTTCCGCGGAACTGGTCCCTGGTGCCCAAAGAATTGGGGGGCATTGTTCTAAATAACTCTTCCAAAGGATGGTTTACAAAACTTAACAGCCCTGTTTAACAATAGATAACGGCTGCATTTACTGTATGTCGCCTCTAATAAATCCTTTGAAGTTTTTTGTAGTTTGGCTCAAGACTCATGATTTTATTAGAGGCGACATACTGCATGACCTGTATGAAGCCAACTCTGGCATACGTAATTTCCAGTCACCTGTGGCCCTGTTTTCCCCCCCTCTCCCCCTGGGTGTCTCCTAAACCATATTCTCCTATTGAGCACGTTCACAGGCTGGGTGTCATCAATCACGTTCTCCAATTAAATATATTCAGGGCAAAAGCTCTGGTAGTTTGGCTACCATTTTTTAAAGACAAGAGTTGGAATGTACTTCCGATTTCAAACTGCTGCATTGCTTTTCCAGATTTCCTTTCTCTCCCCGCCCCTCCTTGTTTATGGCAACTCTAAAACAGGACTTACTTTTTCGCACTTCCAACTGTTGCGGCATCCCCACGGTCACATGATCAGACTTGGGGTGCTGGCAACTTGCCGTGTCTTGGGGTCATGTGATCCACTTTTGTGACCTAGTCAACGGGAAAGCCAGATTCCCTTAGCAACCTTGTTCCTGACTTAACAACTGCAGTGATTCGCTTCACAACGGTGGCATGAAAGATCGTAGAATGGGGCAAAAGTCATTTAACAAATATCTCACTTAGCAACCAGGAATGTTGGACTCAACGGTGGTAGTAAGTCGGGGATTAGAATAGAATAGAATAGAATAGATAAACATTGGAAGGAATGGAATAGAATAGAATATAATTCTTTACTGGCCAAGTGTGATTAGACACACAAGGAATTTGTTTTGGTGCAAATGCTCTCAGTGTACATAAAAGGAAAAAATACATTTGTCAAGAATCATAGGTATAACAATAGTAGTCAAAGACTACAAATAAGCAATGAAATCATTACTAGGAAATAAGCAATCAAATCATACAAGGAACAGTCAATATAAATCGTTAGGATACAAGCGACAAAGTTAGTCATCCAGTCACAAGTGGGAGGAAATGAGTGATAAGGAGTGATGAGAAGATGAATAGTAATAGCAGTGCAGACTTTGTAAATAATTGGACAGTGTTGAGGGAATTTTTTGTTTAGCAGAGTGATGGCATTTGGGAAAAAACTGTCCTTGTGTCTAGTTGTTCTGCTGTGCAGTGCTCTATGGCGTCGTTTTGAGGGAAGGAGTTGAAACAATTTATGTCCAGGATGTGAGGGGTCTGTAATTATCTTATTATAATTACATTATCTGTGTAGGATGTCCTGGCTTATAGTACGACTACATTTTAAAATGAAAACATTCCCAGAATGTGGACTTCATGATTTTTCTTAACCGTTTTGATCAACCTCTTTGATGATTTCTTTTCCCCAGGTGCTGCTTCCTCTCCTCCCAGGCGAAGGTCCGAGAGAAACTTGCCTTCCTCAGCTCGTCCAGTGTCCCAGGATAACCCCAGTGGGGTGACCAGGAAAATGATGGGCACCCCGGTATGAGAAAAGCATTGTTGTTTTCTTTCTGTTAGGATTCCGGCCGTTACCCCCATTTAAATCATGAGTCTTGAGCCAAACTTCCAAAACTTCAAAAGGATTTATTGGGAGT